CCAGGTGAATCTGATGGGTGAAGATAGTAGAGGCTACTGGAATCCATTGATGAGGATCCAATAGTTGATGAGGTCACAGCAGAATTAGTTCCCATTGATGTAGGAATTTAGTACTGCTCTGATACCATGTAGGAAAATGCAGAAAAATAAATGCAGAAATTAGAAATACACTTGAAATTGAAAGACAAAAATTAAAGAGACGTGAATTGGAAATTTTCTGATAATTGCATTGATTATTTGATGCTGTATTTATAGCTGTATTTACACAGTAAAGTAAATCAAAAATACAAAATATTTTGTACAGGTGTCCTATCTCTATTGGGTTTTGCATAACAAACTCTAACAATATTCCAACTATCCAAAGTTTGTGATCAAGGGCTGTGATTGCATCCGATCTGATGGTTGAGATGAGTTCCATCACACATTAATTTGTGCGGCTTGAGAGGACAGGTGTCCATTGCTAACAGAAGAGGGAAAAATATTTCATCTGAATATTGCCCTAACATTTGAAATGTTTCCCTCGTTTCTTTAGACTTCATCTTCTCAAATTCTTTGTTCTTTTGTGAGATTGACGAAACACCATTAACACCATTTTCAATATAAATTAAGAGGATGTTTCGTATATTTTATTTTATATATAAAACATATTTTTGAATAATTTTTCATTAAAAAAATAACCAATTGAACTAATCTATTCACTAGCACCAAATGAATCAAATTCAGAATTGTATGTGTCGTGTGATCCGGAATATGAAATTAAAGTTATTAATTGAATTAAAGGGGTAGAAATACTTGTTGTTGGTCCTATATTCTTAAGATACTGATTTAGAGCAATTATTTTTTTAAGAACTTGATAAGAAACAATAAAGTTTAAAGAGTATTTTCAAAATTAAAAATGTAAAACTAGTAAAGAAATTGAACTTGAAATAGATAAGAAATAATATACAAAATAGTTTTCTCAAAAAAGAAAAATCGAGTCCATTGAATGCACTCTCAAGATAGTACGATTTTACTCACTAGTGTATCAATACCTAAACTACAGTGTCGGCGAACCACTCAACGGCAGTAAAGTACACTTAGTATACTAGATTTAGTATTAGTAGTAGTAGAAGAAGTCCAGAACTTCATTATTTCGTTTAGGGGTATACATGGCCGGGTTGGTTCGGGTTTTTCTAATATCAAACCAAACCATTTGTGTCGGATTTTTAAATCTATAAACCAAACCAAACCAATTAAACTCAGGTTTTTCAGATTTTCGGGTTTTTCCGGTAAAGTATTCATACAAACATATAATTTACTTGTACTCCAGATATTTCTTTAGTCTTACCAAAATACAACTATCTAAGGTGACTCTTAAGAAAATAATACAAAATATGATATGAGTAATGACACTAAAATATCCAACAAAAATAATAATAATGAAATCGCGTAAAACAAATATTGCAAATTAACAAGTCATAATGAAAATGATAATAATTTAAAAGTACTAAATCAT